TAATATGCAAGGCTAATAATTTTACGTTGTTTCAAGTTTTGTGCATGTGTAGTTAGAATTTTGGTCTAAAATTTCTTATTTAAGACGCGACTTAAGAACAGCTAAAAGTCATGTTCTTATGTAAGACGCGTCTTATCCAAGACGCGTCTTACATAATAATTTTGTACCTTTTATACGACAAACTCGCGTCTTATTTAAGTCGCGACTTATGTAAGTCACGTCTTATTTTGTCCCGTATAAATGGCCCTATTGGCTACTATACTAAAAAGCGCTACAGGAACTGGACTCCGGATTCCGGAACCGCGCAAATGTATGCAAATTGTCGCACCCGCCGTGGGTATGGAGGCCCTTGCTTGTGAGGTTGGAAATCTCCTTGCAGTTTTAATATATATATCAGTGTTTTCAAATTTAATTAAAAAGTAGCAGGCTGAGAAAACTCAGTTGTTTGCATTAGCTTTTGTTTCCTCGCATATCAATGAGTAATTTTAACACACATCGTCAGTCTTGACTTTACCATGGCAACATGACGTCACTATTTATCTAGACTATTTATCAGCATGCGCAAAACAAGCCATCATAGCGGGAAAATAAGAACACGGTCCTGAAGGGGTAAAGGGAATTTGGGATTTGCGTATTTTTGTATTGGAAAAATGGGATTTTGGTTACTGGGACTGGAAACCAAATACCACCATTTTAAAGACAGTTTTAATTGGACATTTCTGGATGAAATAACTTTAAGAACAGCTACAGAGCAATTTTTGTTGGTTTTCTGCCTTTTAGCCCGAAAACAGGTAGTAAAATTCCCGCTTTTAGCTTTTGGAAGCCAAACAAGTACATATTACATGCATAAATAGACAAGAAGATTTTTTTGCATCAGCCAATCAAAACCTAGGATTTTAGTTCTCTTAAAATTGTTCTGAATAAAATGCCGGCAAGGTGTAGGAACTAATATTGTATTGATAACAGCAACAAAATAAAACGTTTGATATTTAATAGTATTCAGCAGCGAATGTACAAGGGAACTCCAAATATAAACAACAACAAACTTTATTGCAAAAGCTTAGTGGAATTCACAAGTTATATAAAGCTTCAAAAGCTTCACAAATGCCTAGCAATAGCTGACGCAGAGGTAAGAAATGTCAGGAGGATCCGGTTTTAATTATTTAAAGGTTATCCTACGGAGTAGTTAAACGTGGTATTAAACGGGCTTTGTGGAACGCAATTTTAGACCACATGTACGGGCACATGACCACGCCAATGATTTAAACGTTCGAGTCGTGCGGTTTAAATTCAATGACATTGCTACTTGAAGTGTATTTGTAAAGAAAGACACATTAAAAGGCAAATACAGTAATGCATGAGCTGACACGCGCCGACAAAAATTTAATTAATTCCGTTTTCTGCCGTTCTGCTGTCGTTTGCCACGCTCTTTCATTGACCGCGCAAAGCCGAAACACATTGAAAGAGCACATTGTGGTTTTTTTTAAAATTCAGAATTTACTAAACAACGCTAGCTGCCAGCCGCGTATGCAATAAGCTAAAAATCACTACCTTTGCCTACCGCGAGTGAGGCGGCATGAAAATATTTGTTTATACTGTATACTAGCTATGGTGTGACAAGACTAACGCCTGTATTCTAAAAGCTTACTCGCGCTTACACTAAAAGAGTGCAGGTTCAATCTGAGCTTCTCTTGACTCTCTTGATTGTCAGTGCTGTTTTTGAATGGCTGGAGGGTTACGCCTGTATTTCTAAAAGCTCACTCACACACACACTCAATGAGTGGAAGTTCAATCTGAGCTTTTCTCGAGTGTCAGTGCTGTTTTTGAATAGCTGGAGGGTGAGTGTCGTACCTTACTATGTGACGCACTCACCCTCCAGCTAACCAAAAACAGCACTGACACTCAAGAGAAGCTCAGATTGAACCTCCACTCATTGAGTGTGAGTGAGCTTTTAGAATATAGGCGTTAATAGTCTGACTCGTACTATGTGACTACTCATGCTATCCAAAACAGCAGAATACAGGCGTAAGACTGCGGAAAGTAGGGGAGGCACTGACCAGAAAGGGCAATTGAGTCAGCCTTGGGTGTTATACGTAATCTTACTACTCTAATAGCTCTGCGTCCTAAACTGAACATGAACACATTAACCACAAATTTAAAGGGAACTGCCAAGAAGTCTATGGCAGCGTTTACACTGTACCGTTTTCGTAGCGTTCTCGTATTGTTCTTAATCCTCAAGGGAACGCAAGACAATAGTCTAGTTCTCTCGAACAATACGAGAACGCTACGAAAACGGTACAGTGTAAACGCTGCCTATATGTCTCCGGTCGTTTTTCACACAAAATTTTTAGCAATGAAACTTAAAGGGAAATAGCAATATATTCGGCTCATTTGAAAGAACTTTTAAGACTATATATAATACTCTTTAAAGACTATACAAAAGTTGCTATATGTTGTTATAAATTTTCTGTGCATGAGTTTGACATGGCGTGACAATCGCGTGTAGCCATATTGCATGCACGCGTTTTGTAAAGTATACTTATTGAAATAAAGTCCACATGCATGTTATACAGTACCTTGAATTTTGTTATCTTGTTTAAATAGCTCAGATCTTGAGCTCATGCACAAGATGTCAATATTCTGAGTGTGTTTCATGTTATATTTTGCGACATTGTCTGCTATATAGCCTATATGTAGAATATAGTAAAGAACATATATATTGGGTATTTCGAATTCGATAGTCTGCATAGATTACACTTACAGTATTCATACATGGATAAGGCGATGTTACACAGAACGATTTGCAAACGACAATTTCAAAAATTGAAACGAAATTTGACTGGTATATATTTGAAATTTTTGAATGGGAGTTATGCATGGTTGTGGTCAAATTGAGATAATTGCTTCATTGGAGTATTATAAAGAAAAAAAATGAACATTTTCACTTTGATTTTCACAACAATAGCAACGTGGCCAATGCTTAAGTTGTAACTGAATATGCAGTGTGTATAAAAAAAGCATAGCCTTTCAAATTCAAATTAACGATAATTATAAATTATTTGATTGTTCTCAACTGCTTTGAGTTAATACGCGACCAAAACATTTAACAATTATTCGCCGAAGGCGAGGTGACTATCGGGGAATATTGGCCGTGACGAAGTCGAGGTGAATATTCCCCAATAATCACCGAGCCTGGGACGAATAATTGTTTTAGTATTTTTACACAAGTCTTTTGTGTTTTTTTGGGACTGAATTTATTTTAATTTCGCTTATTTTTAAAATATCTGTAACTTCCGGCACAAAACGGCTAGCCGCCATTTTGAAAATTTCTGTTTTATTGAATATATTCACCTGTAGGTGAATATAAGATTTGACCAATCAGGTTGTAGGATTTGTTATGTTCACTTGTGCAAAAATACTAAGCAGTGTTGTAGCGAGTCACCTGCAGGTCGAGTCACTCAAAGTCGAGTCACGAGTCGAGTCCAGGGCCGTAGCTAGAACGATAATTGGGGGGGGGGGAGGGTGTTCATTCATATATTCGTGTTCTGGCCGACGGATTTCTTTTCAAATCGATTGTTTTTACGGTGAATAGACACCCCCCCCCAATTATCGTGTCTAGCTACGGCCCTGGTCGAGTCATTTCAGTTTCTGATCGAGTCGAGTGAGCGGTTCGAGTCAATACAACACGGCGTTATGCTTGATTTAAATTTGAAAGGCTATCCTTTTTTTTATACACACTGTTTAGTGTTGAGGCTCCAAAGCATCTTTATGACAAGTTGTTTTGCATAACAAAAGTTGCTATAAACTAATTAGGAAATGGACATTATATATCGAGTGGAAAATTATATATATTTATTAGTCATTAGATCTGACCAGGAACAAAAAATCAGGTTCCTGGAAGGAATCGCAGCAGCGGCGCTGCGACCGGTCCAATCTCGTTCCCAGAGTATGCCTGTTCGTGGATTATGTGTACATAACCCGCGAACAGGCATACTCTGGGAACGAGATTGCGATCCGGTCAAGTTAGCGCTCTAAAGGCTAGTTTCCACTCAGGAAAATTATCCGTGGATTGGAAGGGACAAGAAAATTTTTCTTTGTGTTAAAGTCATTAGTTCCAACCCAGAGCTCACAAGACAAAGAAAAACGTTCTTGTCCGTTCCAATCTACGGATAATTTTCCTGAGTGGAAACTAGCCTTAACCATGCAACCATAGTTAATAGAATAGGTGGTTTGGAAACTCATTAGAATAACAATATAACTCATTATCTATGTTAGTCAACGTTTATTTATAAATCTGGTCCTTCACCGTCACGTGCGTATTGTATTTTTGCCCAACCAACCAATAGCAATGTTTTAGGAAAGTCACCTAAGCTATCCGTGACTGGAACAATGGGATAAATTGAAAATTGCTATTGGTGGATTTGGCAAGAATTCAATACACACGTGACGGTGAAGGACCATGATTATGGCATGGATAAACGTTGACTAACGTAGATAATGAGTTATGACTTATCTGGTTATTCTGATGAGTTTCCAAACCATTTATTTTATTAACTATGAACCAAATGAGCTACAGAGGCCAGTTGTTGACCTCTAACTACAACTTCATGTGTAAATACTAGCTAAGGGTTTTGCCTTGTGTAGGTCATGGGTAAATATCAATATTTTGTTGGCGGCATTCGATTGATTAATAGTTGAAGAGCAGGGACGTCGCAAAGGCATCAACATTACATTTTGACCAACATTTGATAGAATTTTGACCAAGTCGTAATTTTTCCGGACTAATAAAAGCATATTTAAAAATTTTTCGACCGAAATAAGGGTAAAAAAATTTTTTCCGTACTAATACAAGCAAAGTGAAAAAATTTTCGACCAAAATCAGCAAGGCTTGCCAATTTTTCACCACAATTTACCGACTTTGACCTTAAATTTTAAGCAAATATCAGTTCCATTTTGACCAACTTTGAGCAAATACCAGTTCCATTTTGACTTTGACCAACGGTTCAATTATTGGGGTGGGGGAGGGGAGGGGGGGGGGTTACAAATGGAAAAATCGAGTGGAAAAAGTTTCACTCGATAATTTCCATCTATGACTATGTACAATACCCTTCGACTATTATTCAATGATGCCAGCAAAATATTTATATTTACCTATAAATGAATCATACTATAAAAATCCAATCCAGCTGGCAAAATAAAGCTGATTTAACGTTGAATCATCGTCGGACATGACCTTCCAGATGTTGAAAAAGGACCGAAATTGCAAAATTGGATCAACGTTACTCTATCGTCGTTGAAACAACGTTGAAATTAGGTTGCCAGTCTCGTCAAACATAATTCAGCGTGGAATTCGTGTTTGAAACAATTCGTTGAGCGGATTTCTTGACAAGTTGACGTCCGTCCAATCCGGGCCATGAATGAACGTTGAATCGACGTCTGTTAGCTGATGTTGAACACTTGAACCAACCATGATTTTTCTGTGTTGGTGTAATGTACTCAGGTGAATATGATGCTTGTGATGTTGCTCTGAGTGTATATCCACATCAGGCAAGCTTGAAAAATATGCCTGACCACGGTGGGAATCGAACCTACGACCTTTGGAATACTAGCCCAATGCTCTGCCAACTGAGCTACGCGGTCTGGTCGGTTCGAGTATGTGATATTTCGGAACAGAATCTAGTTCCTTCGATATCAATGTTATCTAATAATATAATCATGATTTTTCAGTGTTGGTGCAATGTACTCAGGTGAATGCTTGTGATCTTACTCTGAGTGTATATCCACTAGATTCTGTTCCAAAATATCACATACTCGAACCGACCACCAGACCGCGTAGCTCAGTTGGCAGAGCATTGGGCTAGTATTCCAAAGGTCGTAGGTTCGATTCCCACCGTGGTCAGGCATATTTTTCAAGCTTGCCCGGTGTGGTTATACACTCAGAGTAACATCACAAGCATCACTTGAACCAACGTTTGTAAAACGACGTCAGAACAACGTTGATATTAGATTGCGGCGTCGCAAATATTTGCCACGTTGAAACAACGTCGTGTGCCTTAACACATGCATTCATTAGATACGGGCCATTAATTATTTGAAGACTGTATAATTGCCGCCATACAAATGAAGTTTTGAATGTTTTGACACGTAATGTCACGACACATGCGTGCAGATTGCAGTTCTTTTCGGGTGAAATTGAAGGATCCACGATTTTGGTAATACTGTAACATATACAAGGTTTCTTACTGCTCTCAGTGCAAAATATTTAAGAGGGAAGAGGCAAACGGTATGTACTGTGCATGTGGTTTTATTGTTTGAACATTTCGCATGACTTTGCAATATACGCATATATTCATGGTATAGATATTGTCGGCTAAGGTAAAATATTATTAAAGTAAAATGTACTTCGTACGTTTTATTAAGTAACATTCTTATGCGTACAGACTAGCTACTATAATCTAGGTTAACTATTAATAATATTGTGTTTCTAAATCCATTGTATTTCTACTTGTAGAGCTTATAAATATAGTGACTAGTGTTATTATTATCAGGCCTAGTCATGCAATAATAATAATAACAGATGACCGGTCTATATTATTATAGTGCCAATTTCGACTATAGAGCACGAGAGTTCGACATAGCGTGACAATCGCTTGTATGTAGCCATTGCACGCACGCTTTTGTAGATAGTTACAGCCTATAGGACAAGGATAGGTTTGAGAATGACTTTGAGATAAAGTCGAAATATTTAATAGCAAGCCAATAATGGCTACTAGCTCGAATGAGTCCGTATTCAGTGAGATACAATTTGAGTAAAATTCGAAGTTCACTAGCTTTGAATTTTTCTTCTTGAAAACTTTTATCCATCTTTATAACTTCGATTTACGGTTTATTGGTTAATAATTAAAAACGGCAAAACGTTTACGTGTTCTGTATAGAATTTACTTTACATTGGCATTGCGAAACAGACAGCGTGTGTAATTTATGCGAATTAATTATAACACTTAGTTACCGCATGTAGGAGCACGGATACGGATACGGACAGGGGGATAAAACACGGATAGGGGGATAAAACACGCGGATGGGGGGATAAAACACGCGGATGGGGAGATAAAACACGCGGATGGGGAGATAAAACACGGATGGGGGATAAAACACGGATAGGGGGATAAAACACGGATAGAGGGATAAAACACGGATAGGGGGATAAAACACGCGGATGGGGG